ACCTTAGACATAAGCATGTTAAAAATCCCTGGATGCACCAGCATTTTGACTGGTTCTCCTGCCTTCTTAATGACTTTCTCTCGTCCTATTTTCGCTTCTTTATTACTCATAGAGTTATAATTAGAGCACCACAAAGGTACTATTACTGGTAAATAAATGACAATATATTACTGTTTTGAGGTAATTATGGGAAACAGTTGCTTAGGCTAACAAGCAGAATGATGATCAGCTGCTTCCCTTAGCAGATCAATGAGTCTTTCCAAAAAAGAAAAAAAGTAAGCGACTACTTAAAGTGAGTGGCTGTCCTCTCTACCTTAGGGCTTTCCACCATTGGTGGGAATGACAGCATCTGCAAGGCAAACTTGTATGTTCCCCTTGAATAAAGACATGATTTTTTCAGCTTGCTGATTAGTGCTTTGTCAACACATTGACCTCATCTCTCACTGGAGTCATAAGCGTGTAATGCCATCAGCTGCTTTCAGTACTACTAACTCCAACCATATAGACACAGCTGGACAAGGAGAGATTAAGGATACGATGTCTTCTTGGCTTTGGCTTCTTCTTGCTTTTGACAGTGCTTTGCCCACGGGCCCTCTTAGGTTGTATGCTTGTTTTTAAGCATGAGTATAAGTAGGAATACATAATCGTGTCTGATTTCAACCTGCTTGTATACCATGGCTTCTAAAGTCCAATATGAATTTCATTGCTCTTGGGTTCATAATATCCCACATGAGAGACAACGTGGGTAAAAGGGTCCAATTGTGAGAAAAATGGGCAAGCAAAGGCCAAAATATGCACAAGTGACTAATCATTTTGGATGCCTCTATTTTTGTTCTGAGTGTCCAGCTTGGGCCAGATTGGGCCAGATCTAAATGGGCCTCCTTTTTCTGAAGGTGCTGAGCCTCCATCTTCTAAAACTCAGACCCTTAAAAATTACTCAATATAGGCACCCAAAAAATAGAAGCATCTACAGCTACTAACAGCTATGGAAAGTCTTGGACATTTTGTATATACTGTAGATGGAGACCCCCTTGAGATAGCCAGGCTTTTGGTACATACTTTCATTCCTAATAACAGTTCAGGCTTCCCTTTAGCTAAAAAAAAAAAATGTTCAAAATTCAGTTAACCTTGAGGAAAACCACACAAGTCTAAATCACAGGAAAAGGAAGATTTAGAAACTTGAGCTGGGTTTGCAGAACAAATGAGTATAATTATAGAAGGAAAGTTTGAAAAGCCTCAAATTGCATGAAGTTCACAGATCCCCATTGCCTGGCTCATAGATGTAAGATGAGCAGAGAGAGTCATCTGAGAACTGAAGGCAAAATCAGTATGCAAGCTCTAAGTCAGGGGTGGGCAAAGTCCAGCCCATGGGCCAGTTCTGGCCCGCAGTGGACTCCATTTCCCAGCAGCCCCTGCGCACGTGGCGGGGGCTGGTTTTCATGGAGACCCCAGCAGCAGCCCTGCTGTGATAGTGCAGGGCCGGGGTTTTCGTGGGGACCGGCCGCAGCAGTGCTGCCAGGGGCTGGGACAGGGATCTTACAGCAGTGACAGCATGGTACAAAGCCGGAGCAGAGCCACGATCTGAAGCCTGCATGCTCCGGACAGGGGCATGCAGGCAGTGGATCGCGGCTCTGCCCTGGCTCCGAACCATGCCGTCACCACTGCAACATCCCAGCCCGGCCCCGGAGCAGCTCCCCACCCTGCCGCACACCATCATGGTCCAGAGCCAAGGCAAAGCCATAATCCACTACCTGCACACCCCTTCCTGGAGCATTTAGGCTGCAGATCACAGCTCTGCCCTGGCTCCGAACCATGCCGTCACCACTGCAACATCCCAGCCCGGCCCCGGAGCAGCTCCCCACCCTGCCGCACACCATGCCAGTGCTATCACTGACTCAAGTGACCCCTTTGCCTTCTTTGTCCTGGTTATAGTGATGATCTTCAGTCTGGTGCAGAGGAAGGTTGGCCAGCTTGGACTTCAGTGGGAGTTCAATGTGGAGCCTGCCTAAGTGCTTTTGTAAATCACACTGGGCAACATCTGCACCTTGCTAAATCTGGTCCCCTGAGCCCTACTTTCCTGTCTGTAAAATGGGACAAGCCCAAACAAGACTCTTTGGAGTGTTCTTTGTGGTTTTCACAGGCTTGATCACAGCTCTTATACTAGTAGGAGAAAAACCCCTTCCTAGGGTCACATTCTACCCTCAGAGATTACCACTAACCCCAATCAAAGTCAACAGAGCATCAGAAAGTTATGGAGATCACCGGTGCAAAATGCTGCCAAACGAAAACAGTTGGAAAGACTCTGCAAGGCGCAAAATAATGAGCCATTCCCAGCATGACAGAAGTCCAGAATAAATGTGTCACCAGGACTTGTCACAGCATCACATGCAATGATCACATGTATGTGATAATACCAGCTTGCCATGACAAGGAGCCGAAGACCCAGTGTCACCGGGATAATTTCCCTCAAGTGTATGTGGAGTTTTAGGAGCCTTAGAAGAAGCAGAGGGTGTAGTCTCCCAGTCCACGGCTTCTTCAGGATCTGTAGATCAGGGGACCAGTACACATAGAAAGGATCGTTCTTGCCATTGTGCTCTACCAGCTCTCTGCCTCCGCTGGCAACATCCTTCACACAGCTGCATCTTAGCAGTCACAGTGTGGGGCCAAGGCAATCATACAGCATTCACTTCAGCTGATGTTTCCAACTGTAAATGGCACAGAGGCAAAGAGAACAGCGCAGGAGAAAGCAGCTGATCTTCAATTTTTACCTCCTCTGCCCTGAGTAGACTTCCTGGGTTAGGGGGGCTTGTGTGAGCCCTTACACAGAGCACGGGGCGGAGAGGAAACAACCACAGAGGTGGCCCCATGGCTACTCTGATCCACCCTCTGTCCCCTCCTCCTGCAGAAAGAGTGGGAACAAGGAGGCCCTCAATCACCAGCTTGTTTCGTGCGCTCTCAAACTCACCAAGTGCCTGCTCCTCAACTCACAGCTGTCAACAGTACAGAACTGAGCCCCGCAGGAGTTTCAAAGTGCTCAGATAATACAGTCAAGGGCATTGTACAAAGACAAGATACAGAGGTAGAATGGTTCCCCTTGGTCTGCGTGGCTGTATGGAGACGTACTTGTGTGATGCTCACCAAGCATCCAGTCCCACACTGCATTTCTGAGCCTGGGCAGCCATAAAGTACTGTGATGTTGGATGTCACCTACTGTAATAGTGTAACATGAGCTACAATGCCCAGAAGCCTCCAGGGGCCTGGAGGAATGAACTGCAATGTGCACTACAACTACTAGAAGGTGGCAGGGAGCAGGAGGAAGCAGAAGTATCAGCATTGGAGCATGGCTCGTGGTGGCAAAGAGAGGGAGACAGGTGGCCAGAGTCAGAAGGAGCAGCAGAGCTAGGACTGCAAGCTGCGGCAGTGGGGCTCAGACGTGGCGCCCAGGCAGACAGCAATTAAGTATTTTATGGGACCAGAGACTGGTTTGGAGCCCTTTAGAGTTGTGGGCGAGTTTAAGATTCGCAAATGTATCTCTCATGGTGTTAGTGTTTTCTACCAGTTACCTCTTCTTGGGTGATTTCACCGTAGCATCACTGTTTACTTCCCGTTACTCAGCTCCTGAGTGTATGTAACTTAATGTTAACATTTATTTACCTTTGTCTGTCCCCTTCTCAGCTGGTTGGCTGGCGACCTTCATCCCCAGCATCACTTCTATAAAAGTGGGAACTACCCTTGCCACCTCCCTGTGCCAGTCCTTGGGGTTTTAAGGTTTGGTACAGGAACGTCAGATTGAATGCAGGAGATAAAAGCCCTCCTAAAACTACTGCTTGTACCTTTCTAAGGAGGAAAGCAGGGACTCTGCAAGCCTGGCAGCTACATTCAGCCACTATATTGCTGAATAGCTGCCATTTTTCAGGATTTAGTATTTCTTTTACAACAGAGTCAATCCAGTTGTCCTCATGGGCTGGGATTCGGGGGACCTGAGTTCTGTTCCCAGCTTTGGCTCTGGTCTGCTGCGTGTTCAGGCACAAATCACTTCATCCCTCTTTCCTCGTGTATCTTTAGGCTGTCAGCTTTTTCAGGGTAGAGGCTGCCACTCCCTCTGCATGAAATCCTGGCCCTACTGCAATCAATAGCAAAATTTCCATCGGTGAAGTCCTCACACAAGAGGAGCCTTGGTAAAACTGCCAGTGACTTGGGTGGGACCCTAAAAGTTTATGTGACATCTAATTCAATGCAGCCTTGACCTCATTTAGGGGCTCTAGCTACTATTGTAATACAAATAATGGTATTTATATAGTGCTGCACATGCACACAGCAGCTAACAATATAAGGAATGTGACAACGACCTGAATTCTTGCCTGGGAAGGCTCAGGATGGAAAGGCACAAATGGATAAATTATAGAAGAAAGAAACAGAGACAGGTACCATCTAGGCAAGAAGAGAGCAGCATGTGGTAATTGGAGCTGGAACGTTTCATGGAACAGCTGTGTTTTTCAGGCGCGCTCTGAAAAAGGAAAGAAAAAGGCCTGGCAGGCACTGGGAGGCTATTCCTGGCATGCAGGGTGGTAAATAAACTGTCTGAGACTTTATGTGGCTGGGTCTGGCTTTGAGTGAAATATTACAGGCATTGTACAAACTCCTAACAATCGGGATTTTTAATGAAAATCCTGACAGACTTTTAATGACGGAGCCACACCGGGGGAACTAATAAAAAGTGACGCTCTTATCGTTTTGGTGGTCTGTCCTCTCATTCTGCGCTGCCAGCTCTCACCCTGACAGATTGAACTTTTGTCTATTAAATACTTGGGCTGAACTGTGGCCAAGATAATATTGCCTCTTTCTGTCAAACGTTTTCTGTGCATTTCTCAAGGATCATACAGTAGCCAAGAGCGTACATCATACATGTTGGTTCCTTTTTTCACACCCTCAGCCCCCATTGCCATGTGTAGCAAGGAGCCTCTTATTTCTAACGAGCGCCTCTTCTCTTCTCTTGTTAGGGGACATTTAAACTGGCTTCAGCTGGACCGGAGAGTACTGGAACATGACTTCCCCAAGAAGTCTGGACCGGTGGTTTTGTACTTCTGTGTCAGGTAAGTGCCTGAGTGCAGGGTGCACAATTAAAATGACCCGTCAACAAAGTGAGCTTTTCCATTCTTGTTCTGCTTTTCCTAAGACTCCCGAGAGATGCATGTAAACACAATAGCAACTGTTTACTCGTGCATTTTTGGATCTCACTGGGGCTGATTCTTTCCGTCTTCGCAGCAGTATAAACCAGGAGCAGTTCTTTTGAAGCCAGCAGCCCTGGTGTAATGGGCACTTGAATGCCCTGCAGCATCGGTGGCTGCACTGCTGGCGGCGCATTGGCAGCTGAGCCAGCAGTGCAGCTGGTATTTTAGCACACCCTCCTGGGCCTGCACCTAGGGCTGATGCGCCAGTAACCCTTTTCCCCCTTTGTTATGCTCACAACAGCCCAGAAGGGTGAAGTCCTCTTGTTAGAAGTTAATCAGGTGTAACACAGACATTGGCTTCTCCCAAAGTGACATTATAGCCCTCAAGCCTAACCTAGAGTAAGCAGCTCATTTTCGTTCAGTTTGCCAACAGGAACATCATTTGGTGCCAACTGTCACATTGTTTAAACTAATTTATTTAATTTGGACACATCTGTAGTGAGAAACGTCTGAGACTACCAAGTTGTTGCTTTTGTACCACCTGAGTCACACCTTTTGGTTAGCATCAATCCAAGCTAGAGCTGAACCAGCCACCTGGCAGAAAAATGCCCATTTCCTCTTCACTGAACTATCCACTTCCTCCAGATTGCTCTGGTTAATGGCAAATGTTGTGTCAGCAAGGACACTAGGGGCCCTTGTACACGTGACGAATATTGCTGTAATTTGTTACGTAGCAAACTAAAATACATGGGATGTGTTTTAGTTTGCTACATAAAAAAGTAATTTAAATCAAAATACGCCACCAAACGTGTACACTGTTACACAATTAAATTGTTAAAAAGGGCAATTAAACCACTAAAGGGGCAATTTCATCACATATACAAGGACCCTTTTCCATTAGTGTAACTCCATTGAAATCATGTGTTGTGCTCCACACTCTTGTGTAATGGAGCATCTAACTTGGAAAAATTATGGGCATTTTGTGGCATTTTGTGGAGCTTAACAGCGGAGGTGTGTTATATTCCAAATTGTGAACGTATCTCCTGACAACATGTCAGTGATGAATGTACTCTAAAACCTGTATCTGAACAGAAGCGAATTCAAGCTCTCAAGTTCCACTAACTTCAAAGATTCTTCATCTTGAGTAATTGTGTGAGAATTACTAGAGGTTTTTGATGGGTATAAGTACAGTCATAATATAAAATTTTCTCTCTCTGAGGAAAATAGTTTCCAAGAAAAAATGGCTGTAATGCATTAGGCTGATGATCTGGCAGCTTGAAAGAATCAGGAGAAGGACTTGGGGTTTGGGATGGGCATATGAACAAAATTAAGTTGGGGGTTTTGGCTTTTTAATGGTATGCTTAGAACTAACCAGTGAAGTGATGCTGTGTTTTGTATGATGGCACTTTTCCATCTTGGTATTGCAGTATATTCAACATCAGCCTGGCTCATTCCATAGTATCCGCAATAAATGAAGACTTACTATTAAATCACTCCCCTTAAGTTGGCTTTTCACTGCACTCATACAATTATAGAGAAACATAAGGGATGGCTGACACTATTCTGTTATCTCCAAAACTTGCAGTCCCAGATTCACTGTGAGAATCCCATTTCTGCTTGGACTGATTAAGAGTATGAGTCCAGAGAAGACCTGATATGCCTTCAGATTGTAGGTTACTCTACAAGTGATATTTTAGATCCGTAGTATGAGAGAGGGGCCCAAATCTAAAATCCGTTACATAAAACTATTGACATCATGGGCAACTGGTGCCTCCTGAGTCTGGGGGGGCACCAGATCACTGATTGAGGGGGGTCCCCCAGTGGCCGATCTCAGACAAGGAGGGGGAGGTGGTCCCTCACCAGCCGATCGCCGAGCCAGTGATTTCGTGGCTGGAGCTTCCAGGGGATACAAAGCCGATCTCAGGGGGTGCACCCTACATGTCGTCAATGATTGGCACCTTTCTCTAAAGGTGCTTTACCTAAACACATGGTGACTTAATAACAAGCTCATTAAAAAAGCGGAGCAGTATTCAGTAGTAGTGGTCCAAACACAATTGTCAAGCATGTTTTTGTAGAGTCAAGTTCAGAAGCCTTTACTTAGGCAAAAATCTGACTAAAGACAATGATAATTTTCCTGAAAAAAACTAATAACTGACTTCGGAAAATGAGCAGCAGTTTACTGTAAAACCACTGTATACATTTTATTTTAGGGGCAGGTAACCAACCGTAAGTATTACCATACAGATCATCTAAAAATGCTAATTTGTCTTGTTGCAGTATATGGCAATCAAGAAACCAGTCTACCATGGATAAAGAGGTATCTCTAGAGCTATGCATCAGTACAGCAGTTCACTAAATGAATGACTGGTGTTTCTATAGTTGTGATTCATCTGGGAAAGGTCAGAGTTCAGTTACCAAGGAAGGGGAAGTTGAAATACATGCCGACCAGTGAGTTGTGCTTTCACCCATGGTTGTAATGAGTATCCTAGTACATCAGGCTGAAACATGAAACATAATGGGATGCCAGGTGCTTTGAGAACTAGTAATGGGTTTTACTTACCTCTGGTTCTCTTGTGTGATAGGCCTGGGGCAAGTTGGCAACGCTCTCGCAGCACGTAACAGGTGCCCATCACAACACTGATCTGGGCCAAAAGAAAAGGAGAGGCAGTGGGGTATTCTCCTGCCAGCTGAAAAGGCCTTGTGTGGGTATTACCCAGTAGTCTGAGCTGATGTCTTCTGGTTTTGTTTCTGAAACTGAAGCAAGCCCTGATAATGGGGACGTGAAGATTCTTGTAGCTGGGACACTTGTCTTGCCTTCCTCGGGTAGCAAATGTGCACTGGCTGACATGACCTCCTCCTGCTAACACCTAGAGGTTTAGCTCGGGTTGTTTGGATCTCAGTTCTCTCCCCACAGGCTGCAACATGAAGACCTTCTCACTATGAGGGTGGTTATCCATTGGACTAGGTTGTGGGATCTCCATCCCTGGAAATTTTCAAGAGGAGGTTAGGCAGACACTTGGCTGGGACGATTGCGTCAGGGATGATCCTGCCTTCAGCACAGGGCTAGACTAAATGACATCATGATGTCCCTTCCAGCCCTCTTTTCCTAATAAAGAGACATCTGGGGCATCTTTTGTTGGCTTCTGCAGAGGTGTTGCTGTTGTGGCACATGTCACATATTGTTTGTCATTAGTGACACAGTTTTCATAGAAGACTGAGTGGATGCATGTGGCTCCATCTGCTGTATTACCTGCACTTGAATTCAACAAAGCCTGAATGAACATGAGTATCGAGGGATATCAATACCAATCATTCACAGCACCAGTTGTTCATTATAGAGGACTCTGTTTTCTGTACCAATATTTAAGGATTGTGCATTTACTTCTCTTGTATTTTTAAATGTATAATTCACCCAGGCTGTTAAAGACCCAAATCTTTAGGCGAGAGTAGGGAGATGGTAATTAAGGGGGAAGGGAAAGCTGAGGAAGAAATGTTTTTCTCTTTCATGTGACTATCAAATTTTATTCATCCTTAAAATGCCTGCAGCAGTCTGGTGAGTAAAGTGACCACCAAAGAAATGGTTCAGATTGCTCCATATTTATTTTTAAAAGAAAGAAACTTCGGGGGGGGGGCATTGGGGGTGGGGAGGAAATGGAGGAATCTCCAAAACAAAATGTAAAGGTCTCTTTCAAAGATAAATTTTCCTCCTTGTATTTGATTCTCTTGGATAATGCTACAGCCACCTTGCTACACGCTCCCGTAGAGCACAGCATTGCTCTGGATCTGGTGCCCAGTGTTCCCATGTCATGTGCCATCACCTCCTTACAGTGCCCTTCTGCTGTCTGCATGGGACAGACGGGGCAATCCCTGCGTGTAAGAATGAATGAACACCCACGAACACTCAACCAGAAGCAGGGGCAGGCCTGTGACAAAACGCTTCATCCTCCCTGGACATCCCGCAGAGCGGCTGTTCTCATATGACAACAAAACCACAAAAAACAAACTTAAATTGTGGAGCAAGAAATCATCCGCAGACTGGATTGTGTTAAGTACGGTCTAAGCCAAGACTATGATTTTTTATCCCATTACCTGGATTAGTTTATATAAGCCCTATGTCCCTCAGTGGGTTAACTGCTTTGATTTTCTCTCTCCTACCCACCCTGCCTCTCCCAACAGTGCCCCCTTTATTCCTTCCCCCTTCCCTATGTATTCTAATTACTGCTTTCTATTTAGCAACTTTGCTTTCTGCACCTGATGAAGTAAACCCTCTGCTTGCAAAAGCTGATGCTGTACATCGCTGATTTTGTTGCAGATCTACCCTGTTTTCCGCTTATGCTCTTGTCCATTACAGGACCAAAAATCTCCCTGCCCCTCTTTCAAAATCAGGGCTATCCTGCAGGTTTATTGAGCAATATTTGTTTACAAGGCGCAGTTCCACCCTTGCACACTTAGGCAATTCCCACTAAAGCTGCTTCACCTGTCTGTATTAGATTTTTATGCAGTACTCATCTGGAAGGTTTCTGATGGAAAGTACACAAATGTCTGAGGGCAGAATTGGTTGAGCAGATGTGAACTGTTCCACAGCTGCTATTGTGCAATATAATTTTATGATACTATCTGTTAATATCCCTTTATATGCGTACTATCCCATCAGAGCCGCATATGAGAGACAGAGAGAGAGGTGCCCTGGAGCAGAGAAAGGGGGAGTGATGCACTGTCCTATCAGCCATCAGCTCTCATCTGAGCATCAGCATCCAGCCTCCCTTTCTTTTTTCAAAAAATGTATGTAGGGATTGATGTAAATATTTTTTTAAAACCCCATGAGATCCATTCTCTGCACCATTCAAGTAAAACAGATAAGCTTGAGAGGCAGGACAATGTCCAGTGGAGGGAGTGATGGAGGTGATAAAGGAGGAGGGAGG